GTTATTTTAACACAGGGAGTTAAAAAGTCACTTGGGAATTCAGTACAGATACGTTCATATGCATTCGCATGCACATTTTTCATAATAAAATGTAGTTTTGTATGTTATTTTAATTAATATATGAATTTTTGTGGACACCTTTTGGCTTGAGGACAATTCAGAAAGAAGTGGATTTTGAAGGATAGCCGTGTTCCTGTTTGCTTACCAGAAAAATGTTAAAAAATAGGCAGCAGCGGGCAGAAAATACCGAAAGACACACACCCGTCTAATGCTTGGTAGATCAGATGTGATTATGAAATGCGTTAGCTTTGAATAAAGTCTTGGGGAATCTGTTGCATCTGACCCTTCTGGCTGCACCCCTTGCCTCACACAAATACCTGCAGTTGGTAGGTATGAAAAAAGTACACTTCTTATTTACATAGTTCAGTAAGGTACTTTTTCCTCCTCTCTCAGCTGCCAACCTAGCTGTTTGGCTAGCATCCACTGTAATCTGTTCTCCTTCATTATGTTAATCTGTGGGCGGAAAGATTTCTGTCATCTTCAAATCGCTTGTACAGCAATGGTAAACACCTTGGCCTGTCTGTAATTGGACAGGTGTCTGCATTGGTGTCACCCAGCTTTTAATTCAATTAAAGAACTGGCTGCTCTGCTCTCATTACCCACTCATTTCCTCTGCACTTCCAGTCAGTCAGTGAAATTTATACTCAGCGCCTGCCTATCCTGCAGTACAAAGTCAGCAGCCCCATAACTAAGATCCTCATTGATGTACCCACACATTAATTTATAGCTGAGCAAATTAAATTATGCATTGTTATGAAAATATTCTGAGACTGTCATAGGTACTTGTAGTGGGTTTTAGAAAGAACTTTTATCTTAAAACATAATAATGCATTAGTTATGACAGCTGAGTAGATGATGAAGCACTGGATTTGGGGCCCCCAAAAAACTTTGTCTTGAATTTTGGTCAGTTCTATATTGCGCTATGAATATCCAGGTATGCCCAAATGCTAGAGTTCACCAACAACACCTACAGAGCTCTACGCAATATTTAAAAAAAGCTAAATGAGCACATTTCTAGCTAGAATGTGGATTGCAATTGAGTTGATTGCAGAGTAGCATTGGGACTAAAAACGGTATATGTGTTCATCTATAAAACTCATCATCATCATCATCATCATCACCATCAGATACTTATGACTTCCCAAGTAGTTATCTGTTAACTTCAGGTTTTTTAAGGATGCGGTAATATATGGTAGATCCAGTTTCCTGGGAGTAAGTTTATTTCTGAGTATACATGTATAGGTTTGTACTGTTAATTTACATAATTTGTAAAACATAAACACTTATAAAAGCATAACAAAATTAATAAACAGTAGAATAAAATTAATCAAATATACCATACATATGAACAGTGCTTTTTTCTGGGGGTAGGCAGGGGTACACATACCCCTAAAAGTTTTGTGAATCTTTGTACTTTTGTCCATTTACTGTATTTCCCCCAATTTGAACTATAAAATGGTGGTTTTCTTGAGTCAAAATGGGAGAACCCCTAAACATTTTTTTAAAGAAAAAAAGCACTGCATATGAATAGCTATATCTACAAAATTCTGTCTTAATCACTGAACCTTTAGTTTGTGACAAGAGTACTCTGATCCCTTGTCATATTTGCAGTATAATACTGTATAATACTACTGCAATGCAGCCAGGTTCTTCCTTTAAAAAATATTACGTCACAGCAAAAGTTCTGGTCTTTTTTTTAAAAAAAAAAACAACACATGGTAGATTACAGGCAGTAAATCAATTGAAGGTACCACTCTTTCTGCCCAGTGAAGGGAACCTTTGGAAATAAATTAAAATTCCAACACAGACATTTTGACACAGTGACCCCATGAAACTGAATAATGTCATTTGTTAAATATGGATGTAAAGTTAAGAGTGTAGCAGCGAACTGAAATCACACCTAGCACAAGAGGTCCACTTGGTATGCAAAGCAAGTTTTTTTTTTATTAAAATAGCCCCCGTTTAATCATTAGTAATATTTAATTTAGTATCTGTTTCGGAAGACAAACCTTGAGGCCTTATTTTGATTTATCTGAAGAAAATGAAGAAAAACCAGCAGTGTTGTACCATCAGGCTGTGGTTTTTAAATTTTCATTTACATTCCATTCTTAATGAAAAAGCACAACAGCTAGGCAGTATATGAAATGCAGCTCAAATATAAAGATTTTTTATTATTATATTTCTGTGTTTTAATAAGTTTTATTAAATAGCAAGTGTATACTGTAGAATTACCATATAATATTTCAAGTGAAACAATTATCTGTTCAAAATTCCTAAGTGACATTGAACAATATTTAAAAGATGGTCAGTGATAAAGATGGTTTAAATTGTGGCTCATCATAGTTCTTGGTATATGTCCCAGTTTTGAATTTCATTGGTTTTGCAGGACAGGGTGAAAGCTTCCCCTCCCCGCCAGTAAGATTGTATTAACCTTTGAGAAGTGAGTGAATTTAAATAAATTTGACAAACCTTTGAAATACGAAGTGGTCATATTTGATGGGAGGGAAGCCAAAAAATACAGAAGAAATATTTGGTATAACACTACTCTGCATTGATTGATGGCCTTGCAAGTTCACCTATTGGGGATTGATGAGAAGATGGGCATCATTTAAACACATTGTTGTGTATTCGCAACCAGGGTGGTTCAAGAACAAAGAAATGGTGCCTACTCTTTCAATTAATAGATGTGGGTAAAATGGGGTTTCTAAATCATGCTTGGGAACCAAATGGTGGTAGTAATTCTTGATCGATTAACACAGAGGTCTGATTTATATGACTCAGCCCACAGATAAATCTGTTTTTCTTGTAAATGATTCAGTCACATCCCATCATGGTTTAAATGCACTTAGCACATCTCTGTCCATTCATGTGTAGCAACAGTGCACCAGTGATCAGTGCACACCATTAGTATGCTATAAAGGTAAAGGGACCCCTGACCATTAGGTCCAGGCACAGACGACTCTGGGGTTGCGGCACTCATCTCGCTATACTGGCAAAGGGAGCTGGCGTTTGTCCGCAGACAGCTTCCGGGTCATGTGGCCAGCATGACCAAGCCACTTCTGGTGAACCAGAGCAGCGCACGGAAACGCCGTTTACCTTCCCGCCAGAGCGGTACCTATTTATCTACTTGCGCTTCGTGCTTTCGAACTGCAAGGTTGTCAGGAGCAGGGACCGAACAACGGCAGCTCACCCCGTCGCGGGGATTCAAACCGCCGACCTTCTGATCAGCAAGTCCTAGGCTCTGTGGTTTAACCCACAGCGCCACCCGCGTCCCCTTAGCATGCTATGCTATCCCTGTGGGTGGAGCCGGTAGATGTGGTAAGTGCATAGGGGAAGGTCTACAACTCAGGGCTAAAACCTCTGCTCTGCATGCAGATGGTCACAGTCTTTCAGGTTTCAACCCCTGGCATCTCCAGGTAGGACTGGGAGAGACCCCTGTCTGAAATCCTGGAAAGCCCCTGTCAGTCAGTGTAGACAAAATTGAGCAAGATGGAACTTGCTATAAGGTAGCTTCCTATGTACCTAAATATGGTGTGATATTTATCCATAAAATTTGTGGGCCGCTTTTCACCTCAGATGTGGTGCACGTACACAAACATGTCTATTTAAACCTCAGTGGCTGCTTCTGGGAGAGTGGAGAGCAATTCTGGTTTTGCACCGGTCACTTGGCCCAGAGTGTAGCAGCTAAGAAACTGATAGAGAAAGGGCAACCCCAATTGTGATGCTGGAGGGGGTTGAAATGAGCAGATGTGGCCCTCTTGCCAGGCTGTGCTGTTGCGGAGGCCCCTGTGGACAGAATGAGGCTGAGTGGGCAAAGTTGAAAAATTAGTTTACTTTAGTCTGAAAAGGACCTAAAGGAGAAGCGAAAATGCTCCAGTAGCCCATAAAAACTGGACAAATAATTGTAACTAATTAATTCCCCCTAATTCTTTCCTATGGTTATTACACTTGCCCAACTGAATTGCGCCTGAAGCAAAAGTTGGAGGCAATATGGCTTCTTCTTTGGACAAAATATTCATGTCAAGTGAATTTTTAGAGAAGGGGGGGGGAGGGATTTAGATGGGCTGGGTGGTTGGGTTGCATAACCCTAGATTGCCCCTGAATTTAACCTAAAGCAAAAATATTGAACAAGGCATTATAAATCTATAGGTAAAATCAATGTGTGAATGGAGGATTGGGACTGGATCCACCAGTCGTGGCCCTGACCTCCACATATCGATTATTCCTTCTGCACAAAATCTGCATCAATAGGTTCTGGACTAAAGTAGATGTTTTGAATGCAATTAACACTCACATTTTTCTTATGTAAGTAGCTGCCACAGCGAAGCCTCCAAGTCTTGCAGGTGGGCAAGGAAAGCTTGACTTTTTCTCCTAGCTGTGATCCTGACCAACATTCGTCTCCCAAATGTCTGTTTCCATTTCAAGCGAAATTCCCCTCCCCCCCCCATCCCAAGACCTTGCTCAGACTTTCCTGTGGCTGATGTTTACATAACAAAAACGAAACATGTTAATTACATCCATGCAATTAATGTCACGTCTAATTTCTGTGCGTGCAATCTGCATCCTTTTAAAATGCAGGGTACCAATAGTGTACACAGAATCAGATTTACTGACGGTTAACACAGGGAGGTCCAGGATGAGGCTATTGGGCACTATCTTGATTCTCCTTCCATGTGTTAAGTTTCAGAATTTCTAAACAGGGTAAAGATTAAATTGGAACATCCGGCTTGAGCAAAACCTCTGAGAAATCTCCAGGGAAGTTTTACAGCAAGGCTATCAATATTTCTCAGACGAGACTCGACCTGTCCCTTTCTATTGTAAACATATGATGTACAACTAGATTTGCTATTGTGCTAAATTATCTTAGGGCATATCTTAATGTTCTGTGATCCTTGCATATTGTACACACCTCCACAAAGCATTGCTTATTTCTTTTGCAGGCACCCTGACAGGCTTGCAGCCCTTTGCAAAGTATGCTGTAACCCTAACGGCCTGCACTTTGGCTGGCTGTACTGAGAGCTCGCATGCCTTGAACATCTCCACTCCACAAGAAGGTAAAGTAATTTCAAAGGTCTTGACTTCCACATTTCAGTCATGAATAATAAAATAGGAGAGGAGCTAAATGCTGCAAAGCCATTTGCTGGAAAACCCCAACCTAATTTGATGACAAAGTGCATTGCCAGACCATAATTGCTCCATTTTTTGGGGGGTGCTAAAATGAATCAAACTCCATACCCTTTAATGACATGCATCTTTAATAGCTGTAATGCAGATTAATGGGCTTTTTAATTGCTGTTACATTGTTCATGCAAGAGCCTTGTCATTAATATGAAGCATCTGAAAGATTAATGAAAGCTTCCTCATTTTACTATGGCTCAGAAGTAAATCTAGAGACAGTCTGACTAAAAAGAATTGATTGTATGGCACAGTATGAAATTGAGAATCAAATGGTTGATTTCCATGGTCTCTTTTAACTGCTAAACACCAGCACAGGCAACAATTATTTCAGCCTGATGGAACCTCAAAATGCCAATTGGGCCGTTTATTAATCTGTTGTACTTGAAACTTAAAAGTTGCAAGCATAAATTAACATTTCTGAAGCTGGTATTAAGCTCAAGAGCAGCAAGAAAGAGACAATATGTTCGGGTTTTGCTTTTAGAGACTAGCTCAGTAACTTCTGTGTATCAATTACTGAGGAAAGGGTTCTCAAAAGATTTGCAGGATATTTATCTTAAACATAAAAGAAAATAACTTGAGCCAGATTGTAAAAATACACCAGTCCATAGCTTTCCCCATGAAATCAAAATTGCTTGTTTTCTTGATGGCAAATTTATGCTACCATAACTGAAAGAAGGACCTGGCCCTAATATTGTTTCAAAGAAGGCCTATAAGTTAACACAACCTTCTTTGTTTCCTGGATTACTATATGGATGATTTTCTTTTAAGAATTTACCTTCATAAAAGTTTACCTTCAAGTGATGCAGTAGCAGAAGGTGATGCTGACATCCTAAGGAGACAAAGTTCACACCCCAGGCTGTTCATATCTAGAATAACAGACGGTGGAATTTCCTCACATTCACTTTTACCTCCTAATCTGCCATAATAGATCATTCACTCTTATCACTCTAGATAGCTGCCTAATAATTTTAGAATCTGCATACTCAAATGAAGTGTGGCTCATCTCTTTTCTCCAAATTGTTGCTTCTGAGTTGGAGTTGGAGTTGTTATTGCTGGCATTCGTCTGTCTCGAGAAACTCATCGGGTAGGCTTAAAGTGAAACTCCTCCCCTGTTAGCAAAAAAATGCAACCCTCCAAATTTATTTTACCTATTTTTATTTTATTCAAAGATTTATATTCCACCCTTGAAATAAAATTTACCAGGTCATCTTATACAACTCTGAATTAAAATGGCAAATGGCATACTAAAATACAAAGTTGCAAGAACAAAGCCCCCAGAACAAAAACAAAATTCTGGGTTAAAGACTTTGGTTATAAAGCTTTGTAGAATAAGTTTTGCCTAGTGCCAGAAAGATAACAATGTAGGTGAATAGTGTGCTCTATAGGCAGTGTGCCACCACTGAAAAGGCTCTATCTGTGCTTTCTACCTGCCACAATTCATTTGAAGCAGGAACCCAGATATCCTCCAACCATGACCTCAGTGTACCCTCAGAAGTAATCTACAAGCGGTTGCATGCTAGCTGTGGGTAGGTGTGGCTTAAGCAAGCAGTGGGCAGGGTCATAGCCCAAAATGGGTGGGGCCACCCATTCCCCTCTCTCTCTCTCTCTCTCTCTCTCTCTCTCTCTCCCTCTCCCTCTCCCTCTCCCTGTCTGACACCCCCTAGAGGTTTTAACTGATTGATTGCAGGTGGTTTTGAATTTATTTATTTATTTATTTATTTCAGCAATTTATATACTTCTTAATTATAATTGTCTTGGTGCAGTGTACAGTGAACTCAACAAATACAATAAAGATACAAATCAGTTAAAACCTATAAAATCAGAAATGACTTAAAATGGCTGCTGAACTAAAAAGGACTTCAATATACACTAGAATATGCACTTCAGCAAGGAAATCAGTCCAAGGCCACAAATTGCCCATGCCTGATGTACAGCCAAGGTGATATGGGACAAGGCAAAATGGGTTGCCAAATCTCCTTCCTCCTCGCAAACAGCACCCCTTATTTTTGAAGGCCAGCATTGGGAGGTATGCCTTGGCTGGCAGACCTGCTGGCTCTCAGTAGGGGAAGGAGCTTGCAGTCTTTTCTAGAGAGGACTATACACTCATGGCTTTTGCAAGACTGCTTTGCAAACAAAAATAAGGTGGTTCTTTTTGCTTGCAAAAGGTGTGTGTCTGCTCCATTTGGGATTTGAATCATTCCAAATGATTTCTCGAGGTTTTGTGAGAATTCATAAGGAATGATCATGAACCTGCATGTATTCATTACAAGCATATCTGTGTGTAATCCATTTAATTCCAGCCATTCCCAAAAGTTGTATCAAAAACCCAGTGAAGCCTGGGCAGTGTGTATGGAGGTCCTGGGCTGCCCAGACACCAAGGCCCCCCTCTTGACCTCACTGATGTGGTTCAAATGAAAGCAGAGCAATACATCTGGCACCAGCTTGGCTGCAGGAGTTGGCTGGAAGGAAGCGTACAATATGCCATCCAACCATTTTAGGAACTCCATTCTGGATTTGTGTAGGATTTACTGCATATGGTAATTCTCATGCAGACTGGCTTTTAGTTCCTTAATCATCACTATTTGTGCACTGTTTATATGAATCTATGCACAGATGCCATTCACAAACATCAGTTCTAGGTTACTTTGAAATGTATCTCTCAGTATTTTCTATTTATTTATGTATTTAAAATAATTTATATTCTGTTTTTTTCACCCTGAAGAGAACACTATAGCATACAATAAAGAGTAAAAAGCAATAAAATGTCTACTGAGATTCTGAAGTTCCATTCCAAATCCCTAAATCCAGTTAGCATCTAGAGTCTTCTAAATGCCCTCACTGATATTTTAGTGAATTGATAAGTTAATGCTCTGCTACTATTTGTCAATGAAAATTAGATTATTTGTGGATGGCTTTGAAAAAAACAAACAAATTGCAAATACTTAAATATGGAAGTCCAGCATTACCATGGACTTTACTGAATATAATAGTATCTAAGGACTTCTTTTGTAAAACATTTAGCTCTTATTTTTCTCTTCTAAATACCGGTACTTGCGGTAGTGTAAACAAGCATTCTATAGGTGATTTGGAAAATAATCTCATTTATGCAGATGTATTGTCATGTATATAATGATTTTTTTGCTTCACAAAAAAATCAAATAAAGCCATGGGGAACATGTGTTTTATCCCTCAGAAGGATTGGACACAAAGTCAATGTAAGCAGTTTCTATTTTGGGATGCTCATGTTGCATGCATAGTAACAATCCACTGATGATACAGAAGAATGACAACAATCATACCCTCTAGTTTCATCATTTCCCCATTGAACCATTCATCATTTAACATGCACATTGCCAACCAGTATTGGCTGATGCTATGCAAAAGGCTTGTGAATGATCAGGCTGCACTTGGATCAACAAGGCTGTTCCACAGCTTAGAGCAATGACAGAAGATTGCGGAGACCCTCTCTGGCATTGATCAGAATGGGGTTCAGTGTAAATAGCTATGGCATTTAGGTTTTCTCTCATCCTTTCCGACTGGATCAGGCCCTCCTTGCTTCTGCTTGAAGTCTTTTGCACAGAACTGAGTATGCAGATTGCTTAGTAGTATTTCTCATTGACATAATTATATTAATTATTTCTTCTACACCAACTTTGTGTACCGTACTTGTCAGAATGGAAAAGCAGAAAGTACTGTACCATTGTACCTACCTGAACGGTAGTTTTCCTTGTCCAGTGTTGCATTGCTGGGTTGGGCTTACTTGTGTCTCTGGTGGACGACGGCAGGAGTACCTTTTACAGGAAAGAGGCTGACCCCATCTTCAGTTTTGTGTACTGGGGGGGTGGCAAGGGTAGCTGATCTCCCCTTGTCTCTAGAGCAATGGGCCCACTTGTCTGATCTGGGAAATCCGTTCTCTCACAGATCATAGGAGAGGGAGCAGTTTGGCCCTCTTAGTTGTACCTTTAATGATCCTCTGGTACCAAAGGGATGGTGGCTGCAACTGCTGCTGCAAAGGGCTGCTCCAATTTCTTGCTTGGGGGTGGCGGCGATTGATGCCCATGCTTGTAGAGTTTCCAGGAGACTTTTTAGCATCCTAGCTGCTGCCAATCCCAGCTGTGATCCACTACTGTGGCCCACAACTATGATTAGTGAAATCAAATACTGTAAACATTTTAGCTGGGTGGGAAAACCTTGGGGGAGCCTGGGGAAGCTGCCCGCTTCTCTGTCTTCCTGTCAGATGGTGGAGAAGGAGGGAAGGGGGAGAAATACTTAAAACTACTTTTTTTTAAGAAATAAAAAGACAGTGACTTGTAAGAGGGCTAAAAAGTGAAATGAGAAAGAATAAAGTAAGCCAAGATGAAGAAATAAGAGGAGCCAAAGGGGATGTGATTGCTTTCTTGAAGCAGGAGTGAAAAACTGAAGAGAGGGCAGCCAATTTCCTGACAAAGCTACTCCTGCCTTCGTCCTCTAGAGGTGCAAATAAGACCAACCCAGTGATGCTACACTGGCAAGCACAATTGGGGTTTTTATTTTTAAAAAAATACATTTTGAATATATGTTAATTTTATATTGTTAAGTTGTTGTCTCCAAAGTCTAAACAATTAGCTGTCATTGTCTTAAATTTTATTACAGATTTCAATGTAAAGTCTACTTTAGGTGTTATTAATTTTTCCTTCATTCCCCCCCCCCCCAGCTCCACAAAATGTCCAGCCACCTACAGCGATTTCATTTCCCACATCTCTGTTCCTGAGTTGGGCTCCACCAAAAACACCAAATGGGATTATAACACAATATTATTTATACATGGATAATCAGCTTATTTATACTGGAAATGAAACAAAACATATTGTCAAAGGTGAGTTATTTTTCAGAGTCCTGTATGGAATACAATGGAGAAGATATATTTTCACCTTGTGTTTGGCATTTTAGACTGATTACCCTTTCTGAATCAAGCATCAGGCAATATGGAATACATATGCGCAGGATATTCAATTTCAGTCCTGCTTCCCCTGTTTTTCCACTACACCACTCCAATAGTCAGCCAGCGTTAGTACTTTTGTATACCTTGGGCTTTCTCCTGGCTTGCTGGTACCTTCACCACTTCTGCATGGATGATGCTGTTTTGGGTTCACAGAACTAGGATAATCACTGTTATTATTTATGACATAGAACACTGTGGACTGGTTCACATAAGCCTGTTTGACCACAGTACCAAGGAGGTGACCTGCATGGCTGAATGAGCCATCACAAATCAGTTGCCATAGATTTTTATATTGGGGAAAGGCCTTTTATGTTGGTCACAAACTGAGTCAGTGGAAGCAGCTAGGTCAGTTTAAAATTTCCTACAGTGTATCATCAATGCTAGATTCACCAGCCTAGCCACTTGGCCCAGGAGGTGCTGGATAGCGGTCACTGCTAATGGGTTCTGCCAGGATGCTAGAGGTTTGGCAGCTGCCTGAGGACACAGGATACAGATGCACCTGCTCATACAATGTGGAAGGATGCTTCCTACTACTCTCACTGCATTAGTCTGGTCTACAACACAGGACTGAACTATTAGTTGCACTGACTCACCACCCCGTTTTTATGGGAAATATGTGTGAATTGGCCAGAATCTAAATACTCTGGCTTAACTAGTTTGTGGGACAAAACGCAACTCATTTTCTGATGATACAGTTTCTTTAAATGTGTGGCATTTCTGCATTTTGAGTTAGTGCAGGAAAACTTAGAATGCATTCCGTTAAAATTTCTTGCCGTGCACATCCCATAAGCTACTAGTGTGGTGGGTCACTTCTGACACTGAAAAATGAGCCCAGTTAGAGAACCCCCTGAAGGCTGTTGATGTATACTATAATAAATAGTGCACACTTTAAGTCAAACTTTTTCATTCTGTATTCAAAGGTAATGGATTTTCCGTAACCATAGTAACCTTGGTGTATTTCTAGATAAATACATGAGGTATATACATTTTGGTTTTATTTTTGAATATAAACTACCACATTATGTATTGCTAATAATATGAAAAATAGGATATAGGTTCGCATAATGACAGTTTAAACTAGTATGCATTTTTCTTCTGCAAAAAAATAAATATTTATCAAATGTATAGGTGCAATTAATATCCCCCCTCCAGGTTTTCCTATATTCTTGTAGTGTCGTTTATCTTTTGGAGCTTTTTTTTCCCTTCCAAGATCTCCATCAATCTTTTTTGTGTGTGCTCGTGTGTGTGCTGTCTTATTCTTCGGTTTCTAAGAATTTGGAATACAGACTGGTGGTAATATTATCATAAAAAGCATTATTAAAAGATCTGCGGGGAAAATGTTCTGTGATGCAGTTTGAGAATGATACAATTTATATATTTATAATTTTATGCCACTTTTCTGTGAAACAAGTGAAAATGCTTTTGCGGTAAGACTAGGCAAGCTAGTAGTAATTCTTGTGAGGTATCAGCAAAAAAATTCAATGACAGGAATCTCAATAACTACTTTAGGTGTTTCCCAAGGGCTTAGAAATGCCCAGTGGAATTAAATAAAAACTTTCCCCCTTTAAACAGTGCAAACCACAGTACTGTATCACAAACCACTTTGAAATGCTCATCCATATCCAAGAGACTTACCATGATATAGTATAGGTAGCTATTCGAGAAACTCAAAGCTAAACCCTTGTGGGTCATGTGGAACTAGTTGTACAGTTCTTTGGACTCAGGCCAGTGTGACTAAAGAACTGAATCTAGGAGGATGTAAGAAACAAACTATCTAGACTTGTTGCTGGCGTGCAAGCGGTGACAGAAGCAAGAAGCAATAACTATAGTGTCTGTTCCTCTTATCATCTCCCGGCGTGGTGGTGACTGGGCAGTTTGAACCCAAAGCGATGGGACAAATGTATAGGGAGCAGAGCAGTTACAGCAGCAATGAGGAGGTAGCCCCATGTGGAGGACGGGTCCTATTAAAGGCATCTTTCTCAATGACCCCCAAAATCCTGGGGCTGACACTGGTTGTCCAGGTTAACTTTAATTGCTTTGAGTTTAGCCAGGCTCATTCTCAGGAGAAAAAAAAAGATCATTCTTAGGTTCCCAGGTGAGCTGTTTGTTGAAGATTTATCCTAATTTGCTAGCTCAAAGTTTGTGTGGAGGTTAGATGACCGACTCTTTATTGAGCGTTCATTCTTGTTTGTTTTGGGAAGGGGGATATTAAATGATGTCGCATCAAGCTTTATCCCACACTTTCCAGTGCATACCCCATCACTTTCCTTATCGTTGAAACCTCCCGTATTTTTCATGGGCTGTGTGTTTTTTGTGCAAGAACTCCAAATCAGCTTGAATTATGCAACTAAATTTACTGGTATGTGTATCCCATCTGGAAACAGTGGCAGCCTAGAAGCACCCTGAGCCAATCCAAATCATGCATTTCGATCTCAGCCATCACATGAGTAGCAATGCAGCTTCTCAAAGATGAAAAGGCCATCAAGGGAGAAGAAGGGGACAAAACTGTGGCCAAATCCAACTGTAATCCTATGTGTGCTTTCCTGGGAGTAAACTCATATTGAGTTCAGTGAGACTTTCTTTGGAGGAAATATTTATGGGGCTGAACTCCAGTGCAGAAGGCTGGTTGTTGTTGTGTCAGATACATTATTTTGCATTATGAAACTGGGGGAGCCAAGCATGAATACACTAATAAGGGAAAGGAGTACTTGGCATGTGTTTCAAATTAATGCATAGTTTAGATTGGGCATGTCCCGTAGAAATGATAGCCCATTTACACACACCTCAAATTCATCATTTGGATGAATTCATACAAACATACCTTGATTTTGAAAGGTGTTGTTATGACAACTAACACCAGAGTATACCATATTTACTTGAGTCTAGCGTGCCATTGAATCTAATGCGCACCTCAATTTTCAGAACCTTGAAACCAAAAAAAGTATTTGCTGGCGAATGTAAATGTGCCATCGAATCTAATGTGCACCTTAATTTTCGCAATGTAATTTGGCCAAAAAAGGTGAGCATTAGATTTGAGTAAATATGGTATTGTTACATGCCACCCCCATATACACCTGGATCTGCACAGAGGGGAAGAGTCCATAGCATTATGAGTGCCTCTCCTTGCTTCTCCCACAACTTCTGCCAGCTTGAATCCACTGCAGCCACACATGCTCTTCAGTCTCTTGGTTGCAGCATCTCCAGTCAGCAGCCAAGAAAGTTCTGGCCTTGGTTATCCTCCTCCTTCCCAGCACACCCCTCATCAAAACCCAAACCTCCTTCCTGTTACCTTTGTCATCATGTTTCAAAACCTTTCTGCAAAAGTCATTTCTTTCCCAAGGCAGCATGCCCCCTATCACTTTGGCAACCTGCCAATTCTCCTCTCTCTGTCCACTCCACAGAGCCGGGGTGTGTGTGTGGGAAGGACAACGTCCCTGAATGCCCCAGTATTGTTTCTTAAGGTCTCTGCACTTAACTAGCCTGGCCAGGCATGAGCCAGCTCAGGGATTCCTTGTCTGACACAGTTCTGCAGCTTACTTTTCCCCTCCTATCCCAAATATTAGGTAGATTGTGACATTAATTTCTTAGGTTTAGGAGGGTTCCTCCCACAAACTTATAACTACTATATGTAGAAAGAACATCATGCATGTGTTCACAATATACCATACAACCTTCCCTTTTTACTGCTTAGGGTTTGTGAGAATGATAAGAAACTAAATCACCACTAACACCCCACCATTAAAATGGGTTGATTATGCTGGGTTTATGGAATAATCAAGCATCTCACTTAGAGTTATAATGCAAACATAAGATGGCATAGACTGACTGACAACAGTGACATCGCCATTGATCGGTGCTGAGTGTCATTAATTCTACAGATCTGGGATGCAGATTCAGCATGCCCGAAATCAAAGGGCAAATCGGGCTAGCTGAGTTTGGCATATCAGTGTTTTAGCTTGAAAACAGATGGATTTGGGCCATTTACGTACTTCGTGTAACATTATGGGGATCAGTAGAGAAGAGACGTATGTCTGTGGCATGTCTGCTGTATCACTTCCTCTAGCCATGCATTTGGGCAGTGTTAAATAAAATCTCCTTATTTAAAATCCTTTTAAATAGTGTTTAAATATTTCCTGCTGATACAATCTGCTAAAGTGGTTATCCTTGCAGCAGATTTCAGTTAACCTTGTCGCAGATACTAAGCCCAAAGCTTTGTTGACTTTTAGGGGCCTTGATTATGGAGCAAAACCTAATGGTGTTATTATAAGACCACAGCTGGACAAGCTTCTGGAGTCCCTTGTCCTTTGATCAGATTTGGGTAACATAATGATCCAGGGGAGAACACACACACTGTCTGTGCCTCGACTGCTGAGCACTTGGCTACGAGGAAAACACTTTCTAAAAATAAGCACAGAGATAATGACACAAAAAGGTTTTACCAAAAATCTAGCAAAAACCTTTGTCAGAACATTCACAATCATATGGTGGTAAGAAAAGGCAACTTCATATATTGGTTACAGCTCTGGATTATGACACTATTGTGTTTTTGTTGTACATTTATAATGATTATTTGTATTTGTGAGGCACTTAGATCATAATCTGGAAAAACCAGTACTGTATAGAAATGATGATGACTAGGGTTTAAGGAGGAATCCGTTTTAGCAGTTTTATGCACAGCATTTGGTGATTCCAGATTGACAGAGCTTTGGAATGGTCATATTTATTGAAATACAATAAGAGCCGATCAAAGAATGAGAGCAGGTGACCTTACTCATTGTGTAAACGGGGAAGCATCCCTCTCACATCGCCTGGGTAGGTCAACTGTTGCATACAGTGACTTCCTAAGCTAAGATTGGATGTACTTCTCCCACCTT